AGGGAGTGACGATCATGATTGATGGGAAGATCGTGCCGGTGCAGGGAACCGATCTGGCCAGCATCTTAAAAGGAATGCCTTCCAATTCGGTAGAGAAGATCGAGCTGATCACCAATCCCGGGGTGCGGTACGATGCTGCTGGTAACGCCGGTATCATCAATATCATTACGAAGAAAGATAAACGGAAAGGCTTTAACGGCAGTGCAACCGGCGGTTATGCCCAGGGCATCTATCCCAAGGCCAACGCGGGCTTTAACCTGAATTACCGGACGAAGAAATTAAATGTCTATGCGGGTTATAACATGGCTTATCGCGACATCAAAAATGAGCTGATCCTCTACCGGCAATTTGATACCAATAAAAGTTACCAGCTTGCCTACGACCAGCATAACTATGCAAGGATTGATATACAGACCCATACCGCCAATGCGGGTGTTGATTACAGCCTCACGGATCGCACGAACATCGGCATCATGCTCAATGCCGGTCAGACGATCCATAACAGTACCAGCAGGAATGCCGCGTCTCTGTTGGATGTGGACCGGAATATTTTTTCTTCCTTTAATAATACAACGGGCAATAACAGCAGCTTTTATAACTACAGTGCCAATCTTAACCTGCGGCATTCCTTTGATTCCCTGGGCCGGGAGTTAGGCGTTGATGCCGACTATGCCACGTACTATAACTACAATGACCAGCACCTCTACACCCGTTATAAAAATGCGGATGGAACGCCGGAAGGCATACCCGCCATCCTGATGGGCAAGATGCATGGCAAGACCACCATCCGCTCGCTTAAGGCAGATTATTCGCATCCACTTGGTAGCAAGGCAAAACTAGACGCCGGCTTTAAAACCAGTTTTGTGACGGCTGATAATGACCCTGTATTTTATGACCAAAGCTCCGGCGTGGATATTTATGACTCATCAAAAAGCAATCATTTTATTTACAAAGAGCAGATCAATGCACTGTATGTAAATGCGAATAAAGAATGGACGAAATGGGGCATACAGCTGGGCGTGCGTGCGGAGC